TATGCTAATATCTGTGCACTGGAGGATTGTGGGAGGAACATCCAGCCCCTGATGAGGGTCCTGTGGGGCACCCAAAAACACTGAGTAGCTCCCTTGGCCTCTTTTGGGACTGGGGCTGTGCAGCCCTGTTCTGATCAGGAGGTGCAGCCGGGGGGTCACCATGCCTTTGGGGGACAGGGCACAGAAAGGGGCAGGAGGTTCAGGGGCCATTCCAACTCATACCTGGCAGGGGAGATACCATGATCATCAAAGTGGTTTTCCCAGGGTGAGGCTCATCTATTGCACTTTGGATGTGCTGACCTCTGTGATTTCCCCAAATGTGGGAAAATCAACTGCCTAAGTGGGGGACTGTGTTTGTGGTTTCCCCTAGTTTTTCTAGAATCACTCTTTCTTGTTTGGTCCTTGGCTGTTTTCATTGACTGCTGCCATAAGCCTGTTGGCCTTGTTGGTTTTCCAGGTGGGCTCCAGGAAGCAGATATTGGAAAGCCAGCAGTGCAGAATGGTGAGGTCCAAATAGCAAGCAGTCTCTAGTGCCAGTTCAGAGGCCTCCCAGCATGGCAGTGGGAGGCTTCTGGGTGGTGGTGGTAGTGGTTGAACCCTTTTTTACTGTATTCACTCCATAAGATGCAATACTTTCTCCCCCCCACTATACAGTAATTGCTTGTTCATCCCCTTTCCAAATACAACCTCGAACACTAATTAAATGGGTGGGCTACAGCTTCAGTGCCTTTTGTTTTGAGTACAAAACAAAATATATATTTAAAACAAATGATAAGGTACCTAGGAACCAGTACTCTAGTTTTAAAAAGGAGGTGCTTAATGCTTCTGAATAATATCTAAGTCTCATTGACTTCCATGTCTGAGAGTTAAGTAAATCCTTAATTCCCAGTGAGACGCATGAGAAAACAAAGTTTCATGCTGGATGATTTTGGTCCAATATTGCCCCACCCATTAAGATTGTTTTCTTTCAGCAAAATTCTGAAACAATATTTTTCTGATAAAGCTTCACCTCAAAAAAATTATTTTTTAAACTTTATCTGAGAGAAGACCCAAAGTCTCTCTATACTTGACATACAGTACTTTCAGTGCTAGACACCAGATAGCCAGTTTTCAGATTAAAATTACACAGCAGCATGCATTTTCTCTCAAAATAAATTAGGCAAATCTTTTAATTTGCCTGTAGTAAAAAAAAAGTATGGTTTTATAGTTTGAAGACAAATAATGCTGCAGGATAGCTCAGTGGTTTAGGTATCTGGCTATGGAGCTTGATTCCTCACTGTGTCTCCAAGGAAAAGAGCTAGCCTTTGTAATCATGGTGGCGCAGAGGGATGTGGTGCTGCTGTGGGCTAAACAGCAGAAGCCTGTGCTGCAGGATCAGATCAGCAGTCATAGGATCGAATCCACACGACGGAGTGAGTTCCCGTCGCTTTGTCCCAGCTCCTCGCCAACCTAGCAGTTCGAAAGCATGCAAATGTGAGTAGATAAATAGATACCATCTCAGTGGGAAGGTAAAATGGCATTCCCTAGTCATGCTGGCTATGTGACCATGGAAACTGTCTACGGACAAGCGCTGGCTCTACGGCTTGAAAAAAGGGATGAGCACCATCCCCTAGAGTCAGACACAACTGGACTAAAAATGTCAAGGGGAACCTTTATCTATGTAGTCATGGGCAAGCTGAATAGTCCCAGGGCACCCCCAGAAGAAGGGAAAGGTAAACCACTTATGTATATTCTTTACCTAGAAAACTCTGAAAAGAGTCATCATAACTCTGAATTGACATGACAGCAAGCAAATATTATTTTTACAAAAGAGAGAGAGCGGTGGGAATTTGCAAGTGAATTTTAATACTTTTGCCAGTTTGTGGCCCTTGATAAATTACCTCCAAGAGAATGTGACCATGGATAGGAAATAAAGATTTGCTATTCCTATTTGAAATCAGTGTCCTCCTTGATCTTTGAAGACTGATGCAATCTCCCTGTTGAATGGATTTTCTTTCCCAAGAATGTAAGGCCATTTACGGAGTATCTTCTCCCACAAGATTCTTGTTCCAAGGGCAGAAGCAATCTAGAAGTCATCAAAATTTCATTTCAATACCTTGAGAGGAAGAGCTTTTTTAAATTTTACTAATTCATACATCTTTCTTCTCTCCAAAGTGACCTAGAGTGGCACAAAACACAATAACAATGCATATACAGTGGTGCCTCACATAGCGAGGTTAATCCGTTCCGGATTAACCTTCGCTATAGCGAAACATCGCTAAACGGAATTTAAAAAGCCATAGAAACGCATTGAACTTCGTTCAATGCGTTCCTATGGCTTTAAAACTCACCGTTAAGCGATGTTCCTCCATAGCGCCGCCATTTTCGCGCCCTCGGTAAGTGAGGGCAGGGCACGAAAATGCAGCACGGACCTTCTGGCGGCCATTTTGGAACCGCCGATCAGCTGTTCTCCCCCTCTTCGTTATGCGATATTCGCTAAGCGAATCACTTAGCGAATATCGCAAAGCGAAAAAAGCCATAGGGGCCATCGCTGAGCGAATGCTCCAGCGATGGCCCAGAGCCCCTCGTTAAGCGATTTAATCACTCAGCAGGGCACTCGTTAAGCGAGGCACCACTGTAATAAAATATTCTATATAAATGATGGAATACAATAAAACCTAGGAAAAACATAAACATGAACATATAAAATGCACATGTAACTGGTGAATAGCCTCCAAAGGCTCTCTGAAATGACCCTGTCTTACATCTCCCTCTGAATCCCCTCAGAGATGTTATACTTTGCAGAGTCCAGGAAAAGAATTCCAGTGCATGGGGACAATGTCATGGAAGGATCTTCTTGGAATACAGTACACTAGGCTGGACCGCTTTGGCAGTTGGCACCTGGTAGAGGGCAGTCTGATCAATATATGGTTGCCAAGCAATGTAGAACTTTTAAGATGATAACCAACATTTGGAATTGAACCTGGAAAACCATTGGCAACCAAATGCAGCTGTTGAAAAATAGCTGTCATATGATCTTAACAGGAAGCACCTGATATCCTAGCTGCCTCATACTGCACCAGTTCTTGCTTCCAAGTTGTCCTCAAGGATAGCACGAATCACAGTAGTCTAATCTTGAGATTACAGTTGCATGGATTAGTGTAGCCACATTGGCCTTCTTTAAGTAAAGACATCTGGCTGGTGGTAAAGGAAGAAATCTCATCCTGGGTAGGTGTGCTGGTTCCTTAGACTTCCTTTGCACATAACATAACAGGGAAAGGATAAATGAAATCTCTGTTGCAAACCTGGTCTGAAAAGCAGATTAGTCTGCCTGGTACACTGTGACAACAGTTTCCTAGCTCATTAATATGTTTTACTTCAAGCTGTCCACTCTGTGGTGGTGTCTCCTCTTACTGTGTAAATCTGCTTACATCTTTAAGTTGCACTCAGATGTAAATAATGATGTGATTAAAATAAGGTGCTATAAGCAACTCAATTAAATTAATGACACATACATCACCATTCACATCATAATATTTTCAGAGCTAATAAATAGGTGTACAGTATATTCCAAAGTAAATTAAATTAAAAATCAATTTAAATTTAAATAAAACAATTGTTTTTTGTTTTGATTTGGTTTTTCTCTTTTCCTGCTATCTTCAGCATTCCCTGGCAGTATTGGTTTTTCCAGAGAATCTTGCCTTCTCATGCCCAAAGTATGACAGCCTCGTTTTCATTATTTTTGCCTCCATGGATAGTTCAGGCTTGATTTGATCCAGCACCCACTTGTTCATCCTTCTGGTAGTCCAGGGTATCTGCAGTGCTCTCATTCAGCACCATATTTGAAACAAATCAATTTCCCCCCTTGTCACCTTTCTTTACTGTCCAGTTTTCACACCGACATCTTGGTCTTGGTCTGCAGTAACACATCCAGTAACTTGATCTTTTCCGTTTCCTTCATGGCTGCCCTTCCATCTCAATCTTCTGATTTCTTGGCTGCAGTCTCCATTTGGATTGATGATTGAACCAAGGTAAACAAAATTTTTAACAATTCCAGTTTCTTTATTGTCAACATTAAAGTTGTGTAGTTCTGTAGTCAGGTTTTCCTCCTTCTTAAGGTTGAACTGCAGTCCTATTTAGGCATTTTCTTCTTTCACTTTCACTCAAAGTTATTTTAAGCCATTGCTGCTTTCTGCCAGTAAGATAGTGTTGCCAGCATATTTTAAATTATTGATGTTTTTTCCACCAATTTGCACTCCTCCTTCCTGTGAATCTAGTCCAGATTTCGGTATGATGTATTCTGCATACAGACTGAACAGATAAACAAATAAAATATATCCTTGTCTTACACTTTTGTCTATAGGAAACCATTCTGTTTCTCCATGTTCTGTCCTAATGATAGCTTCTTATCCACAATACAGGCTATACATAGGGTAATCATGTGCTGAGGCACACACATTTATTTCAGAATAACTCATAGTTTCTTATGATCTACACAATCAGAAGCTTTACTGGAGTCTATAAAGCATAGATGGATCTTCTGAAATTCTTCATCCTCCAGTAGCCAGCAGATATTTGCAATATGATCTTGAGTGCTTCTTCCATTTTTGAAGTCCAACTTGAACATCAGGCATTTCTCCCACCTTACAGGGCAAAAGCCTTTTGTTGCAATACCTTGAGCATCACTTCATTTGCATGGGAAATTGGAGCAATGGCCCTATAGCTACTGAACTCCTCGGCATCTCCCTTCTTGGGAAATGGAATATATATAATGTTTCCAGTCTGTGTTTTGCTTTCCATATTTGTTAGTGCATTCTTGTTAGGATTTTTACAAATTCAGTCTCTGTGTCTTGAAATAGTTCTATCGAAATCCCATTTACCCTTGGTAATTTACTGTATTTCTTTACTATGATTTCAGAGCAGCTTCACTTTGTAGAATTACAGGTTCTTCATCACAGGATTCCTTTTCAAAAGAGGCTGTCATCCTTTTATCTCTTCTGTAAAAGTCTTCAGCATACTGTTCCCACACTTTATTCATTTTCTCCTGGTCAGATAGTGCACTTCCCTGTTGGTCCTTCAGCATTCTTAAACTAGGCTTAGATTTCCCGTTGATTTCTTTGATCTTCTGGAAAAGACTTATTGTTTTTCTCCTTTTGTTATTCTCTATTTCTTTGCACTGGTTATTGTAATAGTAGTTCTCTTTTTCTTTATGTGACAGTTGCTGAAAAGCTGTATTCAGGATTCTGACCCAATTTTGCCCCTTTTTACTTTTGCTTCTTCCCTGTCCATTCCCATTGTGTTTCACCCATCATCCATCAAGGTTTTTCTTTTCTTTTTACTACAAGAATTGCCTTTTTGCATTATTTCCTAATAATATCTCTGGTTTAAATTCACAATTCTTCTGGTTCATGGTCAATTGGGTTTAGTAATGCAGATCTCTTCTGTGGACTTAAAATTCTTCAGGAATGTTGCTTAAATTATAGTTTGGCACTAGGACTCTTTTAGTGCTCATTTTCAGCTTTACTCTAATGCTGGATATTGACAATTCATGATCAACAACATTATCTGCTCCTGGTCCTGTTCTGGCAGAAAGAGTACAGCTTCTCCATATTCTGCTTCCCATTATGTAGCATATTTGATTTCTATATTGGCTACCTGGTGAGGTTTATGTGTACAGTTTTCTGTTCAATTGTTTGAAACATGTATTTGCAATAAACAGATAGTTGGCTTTGTAGAACTCTATGAGTCATTCTACTGCTTCATTTCTGACACTAGACCACATTTTTCAGTAACATTTGGTTCTGCTTTGTCTCTTGCTTTTGTGTTCCACTCACCTATGATTATAAATATGACTTGTTTTAGTGTGTGATCAATTTGCTCCCAGATCTTTGCATAAAAGCAAAAACCTACAACCATCAGATTATTTTGCTTCATAAAGTTCTTTTGAAATGCACAGTCATGTCATATGTACAAAACAATCAACCATTTATGCAAATGTTGCCTTTAAAGCTAAACTATCCCTCAAATAGTTATTTGAGAGTTGAACAGCAGAGGCTGGCATCATGAAGAGGGAAATACAGCCTTTTCTGGTTAAAATGATACAGGAGATGGTGGAATTGTATAATATTACAGCTACATCCAATACATATACTTCCAGAAGCCATTCATTAAAACACAGTCTTAGGGATGGAATTGCTAGGCATACTATACTTGGTAGGAGCTCTGATCCCTGTTAGATGTGATTTGTTTCTGAAAATTCTACTTGAATTTTAAGCAGTTCCAGTGCAGAAATCATTTGTTCCGACACATTCATAGTTACTGCTAGAAGCAACTAGGCAGTTTTCCTATTGTAAATCCAGCAGTGACAGGTTGGTCTGAACAAAAGCCATTTCAAGCTAAAACACCCCCCCATGGGCTTTTCTCAGTGAAATGATATATTTTAGTTATTACACAGAGGTGGGGAAACTATGATCCTCCAGATATTGAACTGTTACTCTCAGTATTCCTAATCAATTTCTGTGGTGGTTGGGGTGGGTCTACTCTTGGTATATAAGAACCATAACACAAAACCAGATGTGTATTTCCTATCGAGTTCTTGCCAAGGAGGCCAGGGGCACGGACTGGATGGAAAGGAATCTATATAGTTCTATAAAATTCTTAGGGAGAAGTTGATTCCAGTATGAATAGGGCAGTGATTGCTGTCAAGACCCAGTAGAAGTCAGTGGGCCAAATGCTGATATTGAATTAATTTGTTTCTCTATTGCAGCCCAAATGTTCCATGTAAGATATTGTTGGGGGAGTATTATTCAATTAACTGAATGGAAATTACCTGGTTCTCTGATAAAATGAGCACCCCATAATTAGTTTATTTGTTTATTACACTGACTTATATAACATTACTACGTTATTTAATGTAATTATCAGTCCCTTCCCTACAATCCAAGATTCTTGAAGGTTATAATGATTAATGTGGTATAAACTAGTTGCAAGCAGATATATGAGATAAAAGGCTAAATTTAACTGTTAGGCCACTTGAATCAACAGAGCTTATGTTAGTGTTTACTCAGCCTGTCCTGCATGCAATGGCCCTACTCTAGTTAGGGATAACAATTGGATTTAGACCAAACCCTTTAACAACATCTTTTGTACATGAGATGGAATTCATTTGCTATATAAAGGCTGGGCTACAGGCTGGATCCAGACTTGATCATATTTTGAGTATACTTAATTGAACTGCTAGGATTTAAGTTAATTATGACTAAGTGAAATCCATAATTTCCATAATGGGTAATTTTCTTCCTCTCAGCTGGTATTGTTTATAAAGTACTATTTTGCTGATGTTTCTTATTTGTTTTAAGAAATACAGTTTAGAAGTATTTGTATGTAAATAAGTCATTTTTCAGGGCTGCCCAATACATATCTACTCAAACCATTTTAGTTCAATGGGCCTTATACAGTAAGAGTGTATAATATTGCAGCCTCATTTTATTACAGAAAATTTTGAATAATGTTTGAAGCACCTAGTATGAATTTGTGTCAGCTTGTACACACATCTGTATTGACAGAATGGTATGTAAAAAGTTTATATCTGGAAAATCCAAGAGAAGCGTCCAGTAATGGCAACCATTTCCCATTAAGGATAGGAAGCACTACATATTTGTATGGGGTGAAACAAAGTGACTTGGTAGCAGACAATACTGGACTCGAAGGAGAGAAAAGAAGCAAACATTAACCACATACTTTATGTCTGTTGAACATCTTGTGTCATTTTTAAGTGCCATCAAGTTGTTTTTTATTTATTTTCTTTATTTGTATTAGAGTGTTGCACAACCCAAAATTATGGATGTATGTGAAATACAGCCAATATCATAAACAAATCAGAATGTCAAGACTTCCTGACCAGAAGTGTGCTACTTCAATAGCATTATTTTTCTCATCAACAAGTTTGCAATGAAATGCTTCTGGAAGTGAAGGACATTGCCCAGGTGATGCCCGAGTCTACTAATAATACTTTCCCACTGTTTGGGAGGCTCCTTCTATGGACTGACAATGACACTACAGATGAGAAACCTCCTGAAAATCCTATCATTAGCAGTTCTGCTCAGGTGCAAAAGTAGGCAATACCTTTATAGACCACTAAATATATATATCATCATACAATATGCAAACTTTTGTGGATCAAGACCACTTTGTCAGGTGAAAAACTTCAAAAGTTCATGTCAAGAAAGATTTTGCCAGGCATGTCTTTCTTAAATGTAAGTCAGGAAAGATGCAGGCAGCATTAGAGTTGCTTTAAAGTTACTGCAGAGGCAGCTGTGGATTGTATATCACACGCCAATTCTTCAAACAAAGAGTTACAGGCCATTTGCACGTACACCGTCCCATTTGGCCATTCTTTGAAACGGACATGTCTCTGCTTGGTTGGGGTTGGGGTGTGACACAGAAAACGTGAGTCTTCCATCTGGGAATTGAGGTGATAATTTAGTAAACTCAGTAGGTTTAGCCAATTGGGGTCAGATTAAAGTCAAAATAATACTTTTCACTTTTCACGGCATTTTTGTCTATTTTTTAAGATGAGTTTTGTCTTCTCATTATATGCCCAAAAGTATAACATGGGCTCATGGTTATTGGCAATGTCAATGCATATGGAAGTGCTTGGAAGGCAAGATGAACAGCATGGTGTATAAGTGATTATATTTCGATGCTTAAAGTTACACTGGCTGGCAGTGGATTTGGCTGCAGGCAAGTTCTTGACCTTTAAGACAAAACAGAAAAAAATGCACATTGTTGCCCCTTCCTGTCTCATTGCTTTTGGGAGGAAGTTTTCAATTTTTTCATGTTTTTATATCTAGCATGCCTGTGCCACCCTAAGAGAGTATTTTAAACAAATACTTTCCTCTGCCTCTCCAGAGAAGGAGAGGAAGTATTTAATTTACCAGTGTCCTGAAATGGCTCTCTTCTTAAGCCACTTCATGATATGGCAAATTGACAGCAGAAGATGGTGTTTTATTTACAGCTTCATGCACTGTCTATAGTTTGAGTGACTGGGAGGAACTTTTCTGGGCTAGGGTGCTTGTCTATCTATGCAGCACGAAAAGTCATTCCTTCCAGAGTTTGAAATTCAAAGAGAGCCCTGCCTCTCTGCTGAGTGTTCTGTCCTTCTCTTTCGATGGTTGGTGGCAGTTGTTTGTTGCTGTTCATCTGTTCATTTGGTTGCAAGTACATATGCAGCAAAGAAAACAGCAAACCCAAATCTGTAATTTAAAGCAATTGCAACTAAAGAAACAATTTTTTAATTCTTTCTTCTACCAAGGTCTCACAGTGAGTTATTGAGACTTTAAGTGCCAATTAATGAGAAAGGGGTGGACTTCCTGTGTCTCAACAAAATCCCAGCCACCAAACAGGTTCTCATATTGATACAATTCTTTTAAAGACTATGATCAAATGTCCAATGACTGGTTTTACATTGATCTGTTCTGAATTCTCACTACAGAAGGACAGCCAAACAGCACTATCTGGACAGACAGTGGTCCTTAATGACCCAACAGAGGTTGCCTAAAGAGCCTTTCTCTTTGCAATCGAGCACCAAGATGGTCATGGAAAGACAATACTGCATGCATGAGTATGTGGTCCAGGGGACAGTCAGGTTTCTTTTATTGCTAGGGTCCCTTTTATCTTCTTCCCACTCATCCCATCCCTGCTTTTTACCTGATTAGGATGAAAGCCATCCACAGGTTCAATCAGCTGCCAGGTCTCTCCTCCCAACTTGTGCCACAGCTCAGTAACTGCAAATCAGATAATTAGAGAAAATTATGCACCAGACATCCAAACACCACATCCACTTCACATGGCATCAGAGGCAGTATTTTTAGCAGATGCCTGCTGCACAAGAAGATGATAATGATTTATGTAACACTGTCGGAGCCAGTAATATATTCAATCCTCTTCCCTTCCAGGCAGAATTTTCCAGGATAGTAATGCAAGGGTAGGTTTTTGAAAATAAAAACTGGTAGAACCAGTTGTAATTATTTTAAGTAAGAATAAGAATGAGACAAAGTTAGAAATTTTAAAATTAATATTGATTTAGAACTACTATTTTCTATGGTTTATTGGCTTCTTCCTCGATACCAGATTTCAAGGTCATCAGTGCATGAAAACAAATGATAAAGTTGTAGCCTTACACGCATCTGGCCCTGAAATATTTAGATACATCATCTTTCTTCATATTTATATTACATTTTGTTTGTTAATGTGTAACTTTGGTGGATCTAGAAGCCCATAACCCAGAAATCCACCAGAGGTCACACACACCCCACACACCATCAAAAGGTAGCATGGCTTTCAGGAATGCTTTTCTCTTTTAAACCAAGACATGATTACCCACACATCTTAGATTTTTGACAAAAAATTAGGTTTTGAGGAAGAATCTCTTTCTGTCTGTGTATTCTGTGAATTAAAAACAAACAAACCTTGGAAATACATATTTAAATACATGAATTTGACACAACTCTGTGAGGCAGTGGAAGACAGGAGTGCCTGGCATGCTCTGGTCCATGGGGTCACGAAGAGTCAGACACGACTAAACGACTAAACGACGATTCATGTAGATTTAAACAATAATGAAGACATTTGCAGAAATGGAATATAATGGATTTTGGAATTAATACATATGGAGCTGAGAAAGTCTGGAAATAAACAGCTAGAGGTGCAACAAAAATGAAGAAAAAAAATATTTGTATGCATCATGGCCAATCTAGCATTGTTTCCACTTATACTATCCAGACTGCATTAAATCAGATTCAGCATGAGATTTTGACCACTTGCCCTCAAGCTGTATATCTTGCAGCATCACAGCTTAGATAAGCCAATTAAATCAAGGAGACCCTCTTCCCAAATGCTTAGAAGTTCATGAGTTGGATTCAAATTTAGACCAAGCAACTAGGTTGACTGAAATAAACCTTCTTGCTCCATCCTTCTGACTGCGGATTCTTTGAAAATGTTGAACAAAAGATAAGGCAGCACTGATAAAGGGGGTGAGCTACGGTGGAAAGAGGGAGGAAAACTCAGATAAAGGGGTGGCAGAAGCATAATCTCTTAGGAGAATGCATCATCACCATCATAATCCTAGAACTGCAGAGATGGCATTTGGGCTCAGAAAGCAGATCTTGGATCTAGCCCAAGAAAATAAGTTCTAGTCCTAGCCACAAAGATACAGGTGATCCTACTTTCACTGAGAGAAACTCAGCTTCCCACTCTAAAGCAGGGCTGGGTAAACCTCAGGCTTCGTAGATTAAATTTATTTTGTACTGTAAGCTGGAGCCAATGGCAAAATGGTGGCACAGGGGAAACATACCAAGTAGAATGGAGGAGGAGGGTGTCCATGGGAACTCACACAAGAATGTGTTTTCAGCATTAGAATCAAGGAGCATTTTGGATGCCTGGTTTGCCTCCCATGTTTTGTTCATTTCAGCAATCCAGTAGAGAGTTGTTAGTCCCTTCAGAAGCAAAAATGAATCCCAGATCATTTCACATTGTGAGGGCTCCTCAGTGTTTTGGAAGAGGGGTAAGCCGTATTTGAATGTAATGAATAGCATGTTAAAAAATTTATTCATAAAACAGTCATGCACTCTTGGCTGAGGTGAGGCCCCATGCCAAAGCCAAATGGTTCAGTTAGTTTAATGGAGACTTCAAAATACAAACACCCATATTTTAGCTGGAGAGAGCACTGGAGAAGAGTGATACCTAATAAATACACAGATACTGAATAGAGACCAGCCCCTCATGGATTCAGTGCCAGAACTCTGAAATTATAGAAGTCAGGATTTTGTCTAAAGCAAAAAGAAAAAGAAAAGTAAAAAGTAAAACTTGCAACTGCTGCTAAATAATTTATATTTTGGGACTCCAAAAATGGTTTCCCCTGACTTTAGCAAAACTGAAAAATGGGTCAGTGATTAGAGTAAAAACAGCTTAGAAGAGAAACTTGACAATTGCCGCTTCCACTAAGCAGAAGCCTTTAATTGCAAACATGCTTATGGGGCTGTGAAATTCATTGCCAAAGTGTCTGGTGTGTTGTGATGGCTTCTGTTTATCACTCTGAGAATGTAAATCACATTGCTCCTCACTCCCTAGCCTCCTAAATTTGACATAATATATTTAACACATCAAAGTAATTTGGCTCATCAGCAGTTCAATAATAGCTTGCACAAAATATTAAGAAGGCATTCAGAATGATTTTGATTCAAGCAACTTCTCCATTAATAATATATCGCAAGTAACGAATAAGTGATTGCATAACGAAGTGAAAGGAATACTAAATAACTGTGGCCAGTAAGTGTCAAAGCACTTCTGTCTAGCTTGAGTGAGAAAGATCCAGAATTGGCAGCAAATATTCATATGCAATTTCCTTGCTCGGTTGGCAGTCCCATTTGGATGGACAGAGCACATTCATAAACGCCAGTGATGCAGAACAAGCCCCAGGTGGCACAAGAGTAGCAAGGGACTGTGGGAGTTGTACTAAAAGACGCACTGGCAGGGCCAATGATATAAGCAATGATCCATGAAGTCTGACTAATCTTGCTAGCTACCTATCTCAAAGGAGAGGTGGGCTCTTGTATTTAACACCAAACTGTGTTCAGCATGCTTCCAAATCCAAAGGAAGGTCAGGACCAGCAAGCCTGGTGGCATCTATGAAGGCCATTATTTCAGGATCCATAATCTCAGCAGAATAAGGCACCCCACCCACTAAGTGAATCCAAATAATGTATCACCAAATATGGCAGCAGTCTTGCCACTATTACTGATGTTGATGACTCTAGCAAACAATGGAACTGCTAAGGACAAACGAGGCAACTCTGTTCTGCTGGGGTTAGAATGAGAAATGTTATTGATAACACAGGTGAGAGGGAATTGTAGTAAAATAACTTGCAGTTTTTACAACCTCGCATGCTTCCTGGAAGATGTGGCTGGGAGGACCTTTCTGAGCTGGGGTGACTGTCAATCTATACCACACTAACCAATTGTTCTCTCCTGCCTCTGATTTCAAAGAAAGCCCCACCTCTCTGCTCTGTGTCTCTTTCCCTCTCTTTAGGGAGGGAAGTTGTTGGTAAAATCAGTCATGTTTTTAGCTTGCTGTTACCTGTTAAATTGTAAGTAAAGAAACTATTCATTCTTTCTCCTATTAATGTCTCTGAGTGAGTTATTAAGACTGTAACTGCCAGTTAATGAGAAAAGGGGTTGACTAATCTGTGGGACTTGAAGCTATTCTGTCCTATGAATCCCTGCAGTTCTGCTGGGCAGCTAGAGAAATTTAAGCAGAAATTCAAAACTCTGCAACAGTAACTTCTCCGAAAGCTGGCTAAGACTGGAGCTGAAGTAGTAGATGTTGCTGATTGTTATCCTGGAGGCTGGATGAGCTTGTACGACTTATTTCATGCCTTCTTATCTGCTGTTGACCTTCCCTTGTATAAAAGGGGGAGGTTGCTGTAGTAACAGCACATCAAGCAGAGTTCTTAGGAGGTACAGGCCAATGGAGGAGGGACTGCTTACCACTGGCAGGTAAGAAAAAGGAATTTTGGAGCCCGCTCATACTTATTCCATTTTGCATCAATATTACCCAATTTTGTGCTGCTGTAAACGGAGGAGGAGCCATCAATCCCATATCTGCTCCTTTTCAAATGGAATTTGGCATCCCATTGAATTCTTGGCCAGTCTCCTTTTTGTCAGGGACTATGGATAAATTGTGGGCCTTGTTCCTTAGAAGTTTCAGGAACATTAGGACTGATACATACAACTGATCTTCTGGATGCTCTTTATCTGTGGCTGAAAGATCGTCCAATCATCTCTATAGCTCAGTGGTTTAGGTATCTGCAGAGTTACAGGTTGGGAGTTCAGTTCCCTATTCTGCCTCCTTAACAGGGGCTGGACTCAATCATCCATAGGGTCCCTTTCAGTTCTGCAGTTCTAGGATTATTATTATCTCCTCACAGACCACTAATTTCTTTGTATGGTGCCCATGTAGGGCAGATTCCCTGAGGGGAAAAATGAAAATGACTGTCCTTTAGCATGTTGTATTTATTATTTTATTTTTTATTTTATTAGATTTATAGACCAAAGGTTTGTAGTGGTTGTTGGGATCTAGTTGTGCAGAATTCATGAAATCTTACCAAAGAAAATGTATAAAAACTGATGCAGAGAGCTGCAACAATAAAACCAAGTCTATAGACTTGTAGCCACCTTTAGGCATTGGCAGGCATATTCCCTCATTCCAGTAATGGACTGACTACTGCAGTCCATACTTTGAAAAGTAATTCAACTAGGCCATAATTATTTTTCAAGCTGCAACAAGTAAATATTCATTGTGGATGTGGTGCCCCAATTTCTTAAAAAAAAACAAAACAAAAAAAAACCCACTGTATGCATTTATTTAGATAATTTCTAGGCCACACTTTAAATTTGTCCAAATTTTGTCACCATATTTGGGCAACATCAGTTGAAAATTACTCTTTCAGCTCTTAGGCATAGACCCTCCTTTTAATGACATATAGCAAGTAGCAGTTTATTCAGCTCTTGTATAATCTTACTTTCTTTCAATGGGTAATCCATGTAGAAAACATCAAAATTGGCATATTTCTCTGATATTGCTATTTCTTTCAGGACACTGGAAAGCTGTGCAGCTCTCTGGAAAAATAAGAAAATAATGATATGTGGGTGTGTTTATTATTTTACTAAAATAATTCTTAGCCTACACTCCACCAGGAGTTCAGAGAACCTCAAAATAGAATCATAGAATTACAGAACCATAGAATAGTGAAGTTAGAAGGGCCTGTGGCGGAATGCTCATGCCACTCCTGTCCATCATATGGAGCTTTAGTGCAGGAGCCTATGATAGGGCAGGAGGGGTGGAGTTAGAGTGACAGTTGGGGAGTTAGAGAGACAGAGAAGGAGATAGGGAATGGAAGTGAGAGAGTTAGGACATTGAATTGAGAGAATTAAGACAGAGATTGGAAAGTTGGAGTGTTATAGAGAATAGGAAAGAGTTAAAAGTAAGAGAGAATAGATAGGTGATTAAAGAATATTGTTAAAGAGGTTACTATGAATAAAAATACATACAAGGAAACATGTAAAATCCAATTTAATGAATGATCCCCAACAACTATGATTTACATATCAATTAAGAGTTCAATAAACCTATTATACTGGCAGCACGTGTCTTAGATATATTTGGTATATTGTGGACTAGATCCACTGGTGGCAGCATAGAAAGAGGCAACACATCCTGAGGGTGGACCTGTATTTGGAGAGAACAAACTAGGGACACTAGGGGAATGCGACAAAGTGGTGGCAAGCGGAGGGATGTGATTTAAAGTCCAGTAAGCCTAAGAAAAAAAGTGAATTTTCTGAGCCCAAGGGACCTTTTAGTCTGGGACTGTCAAGAAGGAGTGGGAAACCCTCTAGAGTTCTTAGTGAAAAGCTTAGAAGGGGCTCCTGATCGCAGACCTGGGAAAAGACTAAGGACAAGAAAAGGCTCTGAGGAAAATTGAGTGTTTTAAGGTTACCTCAAGCTTTAAGTAAAAGACCAGTAGGCTAGCTTGAAATCCCAAGCTCTAAGGGGGGAGCACTGAGGGGATAAGTGGAAGCCAGGGTCATAAATATAGCCAAGGTGCCTGAAACCAACAGAGGCTTGATTAAAGTAAATATTTCTGAACTATTTTGGTGTCCGCAGGCAAAAAGAGAAACAGTGTGGCTGGGTGCCAGAAGGAAAATATAGTAACAATTCGTGGCTGCCAACAGAGAGCTACAGAATAACTCTCTCTCTAACACAGAAAAGGAAAAAAGCACTATAAACTGAGGCTTGACTGCCTATCTCAATAGAAGTGACCATCATGTCCAAATAAATCCAATTAAATATACCTACTAAATGAGGGGGAAAGGTGGCAGTTGAGGTAACTAATTGTCAAGTTTTATCTCATTTAGAGGAGGGAAATCTGGAAATATCTGATCAGGAGGATGATGGCTCAGGGGGAGAAGCTGCTTTAACCTCCCAGGAGTTTATAAAGTGGAAACTGGAGAAGGAATTTCTCTTAAGGGAATTAGAAATAAAAGCTGAGGAAAAAGCTTTACAGCTTAAAGATGAGGAAAAAGCTCTGTAAGCTAGAGCTGAGGAAAGACCAAAGGAATTAGAAATTAGAGAAACAGCTGAGGCAAAAGCCAGACAAACAGAATTAAAAGAAAGAGAAATGGCAATGGAAGAGGAAAAGAGACACATGGAGTATCAATTACAACTGAAAAGATTAGAATTGGCATCTCTAAATAATAATAACAGCAATAATAATGAAAAAGAAAAAATAGATCTTAAAAAAATTCCCACAATTTAGAAAGGGTGATTGCCCTGAGGCATTCTTGATCTCTTTCGAGCGCACGTGCTGGGATTTTAACATAAAAGCAGAAGACCGTATGTTTGTATTAAGGTTCCAGATAAGTAGGGATTTAGCAGATATTTATTCCCAAATGCCCTTAGATCAAGCCAGAGACTATGAGGCTTACAGGAAATTGGTTTTCTTGAGGCTTGAGATCAATGCTGAACATCTGAGGTGAAAATTTTGAGCATTGATTAAAAAGCCTGAGGAATCATATTCTCAATTGGGGGCAAATCTATTTAGATACTTGGAGAAATGGCTAGAGCAGGCTAATGTCAAGACATTAGAAAATATGAAAAATATTATAGGGTTAAAACAATTTTATTCAGTTCTGCCAGGAGAATTGAAGTACTTAATCAGAGACAAAAAGCCCAAGAATGTACAGGAGGCAAGTGAAACTGGTGACTATATAACAGATATCAAAAACTCCAAATTCTCTGAGGTGAAATTTGGAGGGAAAAGTTGGGACGACAGAAGCATCCTGCACTCTGGGATAATCGAGAACAGATCTTGTCCCTCCTCTGTATGACACTTTGAAAAGTGCTATCATATCACCCATCAGCCTTCTTTTCTCAAGGCTAAACATGCCCAATTCTTCCAGCCTTTCCTCATAAGGCTTGGTTTCCAGACCCCTTGTTGCCCTCCTCTGAACTTGTTCCATTTTGTTAGCATCCTTCTTGAACTGTGCTATCCAGAACTGGACACAAGACTCAAGGTGAGGCCTAACCAGTGCTGGATAGGTGAGGACTAGCAACCTGCGGGATTTGGAAACTATACTTCTATTAATGCAGCCTAAAATAGCATTTGCCTTTTTTGTAGCCACATCAAACTGTTGGCTCATATTTGACTTGTGATCTACAGCAATTCCAAGATCTGTCTCACTCATAGTTTTGCTGAGCCAGGTATCCCCCATCTTGCAATTGTGCAATTGGTTTCTTTTTCTGAGGTGCAGTACTTTGCACTTATCCCTGTTGAATTTCATTCTGTTGCTTTCAGACCAGTGTTCCATCCTATCAAGGTCATGTTGAATTTTGTTTCTGTCATCTAGGGTATTAGCTATTCTGCTCAATTTGGTATCATCTGCAGATTTGACAAGCATTCCCTGCACTCCCTCATCCAAGTCATTAATAAAAATATTGAAGAGTACCGGGCCCAGAACTGAGCCTGGGAGTACCCCACTTGTTACCTCCTCCCTGTTAGAGAAGGACCAATTAATCATCATCCTCTGAGTACGATTCTGTGGCCAATTGTGTATTCACCTGACACTTGATCTATCCAGCCCACACCTAGTTAGCTTGCTAATCAAGATATCATGGGACACTTTGTCAAAAGCTTTGCTAAAGTCAAGATATACTATGTCTACAGCATTCCCTCTGTCTATCAGGGAGGTGACCTGATTAAAAAATGAGATCAAATTAGTTTGGCAGGATTTGTTCTTGACAAATCTGTGTTGGCTTCTAGTTATTACTGCATCATTTTCTAGGTGCTTGCACAATGACCACTTTGTGATCTGTTCCAGAATTTTGCCTTGGATTGATGTCAGTCTGACTGGCCTGTAGTTCCCAGGTTCCTTTTTTTGTCCTTTTTGAAGATAGGGACAACATTAGCCCTCCTCCAATCCTCTGGCACCTCCTCCATTTCCCATGATTCCAATAAAATAATGGATAGTGGTTCTGAGAGTTCTTCAGCTAGTTCCTTCAGTACTCTCAGATGCAGTTCATCTGGCCCTGGAGATTTGAACTTGTTCAAGATGGTAAGGTATTTCTTGAATATTTGTTTATCAATCTCCAGCTGCAATCCTGTCCCCCCAACTTGCACTTCCAATTTGTTTGGAAATTCATAGTCTGTCTTGTGGGAAAAGACTGAACTAAAACAGGAATTGAGCACCTCTGCCTTTTCTTTGCCCTCTGATATAATTTTTCCATCTCCATTGAGGAGCTGTGCCACTATGTCTTTTGTTTGTCTTTTGCTACTCACATTCCTGAAGAATGCTTTTTTATTGCTTTTAGTGTCCCTAGGTAACCTCAGCTCATTTTCAGCATTTGCCCTCGGTGCATTTCCTTGCTACTTCTCTGTATTCATCCTTGGTGGCCTGGCCTTCTTTCCATTTTCTGTACTTGGCTTCTTTTTTTATTTTTAAGTCCTCCTTGAGATTTTTGTGAAGCCACACTGGCCTTTTTTTTGCCACCTCCCAATTTTTTTTCTTGTTGGAAATGTTTGTAGTTGTGCTTTTAGAATTTGCCTCCCAATATATATCTAGATAATTGAAATCTCCCATCACTACTATGTCGTGCGTCTTTGAAAATCCTGCAATTTGTTTTTCAAAAGTTTCATCCACTTCCTCTTTTTGATTGGGCAGTCAGTAGTAGACTCCAACTACCAAGTTCCTTTTGTATTTTTGCCCCAACTAGATTGATCTAGCTGCTCTCGATAAAAGAAACATAAAACAACACATGGACTGGACAAAGGCATCAACTTATGTGCAGGAAAATAAATGCAATGTTGTGCTAGTTACAAAACGTAGTCACAAAACCCGATTATTCTTTCTGCATCTACTGGCTTTTTATATAGTATTGATCAAAATGTTATTCAGAGAGTAGTAGAAACATAGTGCATGCAGTGACATTCACCTGCAAGGATGAAATCTTTGAGACAGGCCTAGAAAATATAAGCATTCAATACTCAATTTCCAGTTGGTACATAGACGGCATAGATCCATCTTGGGGTTAAAATGGGAATGGGCAAAACTACTTCAATGAAATGGCCCTCAAGAGTCATTTGTTTTCATCATGTTTCCTCTGAACTGATTCAGATTCCGAGGCAACTCATGACACAATTTCCCTTAGGACTGCATTGCACGTGGAAGCAAGCACCTTATCTGCAAACATCACTATGTCAAAACTCCTTTGTGCATGGAAAGCCAGGTAAACATGAAGCCTTCCTTGCAATCTTGCATACATGTTCATTCATAGTAGTATTATTCCATGAGACAACCATGTGTCATCTGTTGGAGATCTGAACTGAAGAACAAGACATTTCAATCCATTCACATACTGAAGACATTTGTAAGAACCTGGATGCAACCTAAGAATCTGAAGCTGAAATAGCATCCTCTCTTCACCTAAATAAAAACCAGGAGACCCGATTTCTTCAGGAGGTGGTAGTAGCAGTAGCAGCAGTTGTGGCAGCTATTATTACTGTTACTATTAATAACACCACCCTACTTTTCTTACAAAACAATGCCACATACTGGCCTTAGAGAGATGAAATCCGCATACTGTATGTCTTAAAATAATTTTGATATTGTACATACCTTTGTGGTCACATCCCTAAGTGTGCTGTTTGAAGACATCCAACCTCTGCATGGATTGACCTGTAGGGGTGTGGGAAAATAACATTCAACCCTTTTGTGGGTGTGTGGAAATAGATGCAAAAACACAAAATTAACTGATTGGCTGCAGTGACATTCAAAACACAGACATTTGGATAAGAGCTTTTTTCAAATAGCATTAGATTTTTCAGAGATAGAGAGTGGACACAGCGAGTGAATGACAATAACCCAGAGCATAGTTTGGCATTTTGGATTAGAAAATTAACGTGTTGCTATTAGCATTCAGTCCATTAATTTAATGCTCTTAACACATGTAATTGAAACATTGGTTGGTTCCCCTCAAAAAAGAAGCCATCACACCACATTCTCCCCCTCCCTAATGGGAAAGGGGCGTATACTTCCCTTCCAAAGCTATATTGATACTAAGTACTCCAAACTTGGCCCTATAAATGTAAAAGCTCAAGAGCTCAGCACCAAAAATTACTGGTGGGGAAGAGGAAGAATGACTTTCATTACTATTGTTTCAAAGGGTTGTGCTCTACAACTTGTGGCAAGGTCTGCCTTGATCAAATGTTTTGTGACTAGCTCATATTTTATCTACAGCTGTCATAAGTACTGTACTTGCAAATATTACTCTCCTCAATAATTCTGTGATCGATTTTTTTATCCTTTCTAAAGGAAATTTTTTGAGTAGCTCCAAATCTTTCAAACCAAAAAGAAGTAGTCAAATTGAAGGCATGACCTTACCTCTTTTTCATTTCTCTGCCTAAAATGTAATTGCATGGAATATTTGGACAACTCACCTGAAGACAGCTAAGAAATGAATACAGTTGTCCATAAGTGACATCTTTGTTTAACTGACCTGGAAAACAGAAATGTTTTTAAATTGACAATGATAAAATCTATCATGATCCTTTACAGAACCGAAACCCTCTAGGAGTCTGCCTGATAAGGACTTTATAACGTTTGTATTCAGATACTTCAAATTTGTATTCAGTTAGTAGTCAGTTACTCTCTAGTTACTCCCTGGCTACTTCTTGATGTTGACACCATATTTTGTAGTGTGTTTTGGCCAATGTAATGGGTGGCATATGTCCATTCCAGTCCTCAGAGGCTCTGCATAGGCAATGGTAGCAAAATTCAGTGGAAAGCACTTTCTGCCTTTTGGGACAAAGAGTTTGAATGCAACATCTGAAGGAGACCAATTCAATTTTGGGTTTTTTAGTTTTTATTCATCACTCTGTATCTATCCTAATGTTTACCCATTAGACTTATTACAATAAATTGGAATAAAGAAGACTATCTCCAGTAATCAGGAAGAATGGTTTTAAAAAGGGATTTAAACTGGCCTTTTCTTGCTCCCATATGTTATCTATGCAACTGCATCCACAGGGAGATTATCAGAAGCTGATTCATACAGCAGATCTGCACTGCATGCATGTTGTGGTGCCACAAATAGCAGAGTCCCCTATAAAATGCTCTATTGCTATCCAACAGAATCCTCATTCCAGTTACATTTCACGCAACCAAGATATCCCTGTACAGTAATTTCTTCAAGCACCGTATTATTCTGATAAAGAAATTGACCCCTGCTGAATAACCATACAGCATTTTCAATATATAAACATGTCTTAGTTTAGTACTAATCCTGTCTGTCTCTGGGGAAAGGAGAAGAGAGAAAGCCTTTCTCCTCAAATCATTTATTAAAAATATTGTGACCTACAAACCAATTTCAGACTTGTATGTATAAGAGTAAGATCACATTTCCATGGCAGCATTTGTCTTAGACCTGAAATAAAGATTATTTTTAGTCACTCTGTATATACAGTATACACCTTTCCCCCTCTCTTCTCAGACAATTGAACTAGTGAGAGAACCAAGTCATATAACAGCCAGTTCAAATCCCAAGGGTGAATGGCTGATGCTTTGCCCATTAACAAGCCTTTCACTCTCCAAAACAAATCTAGCCATTTCATGCCAAGAAGGAAGATTGAAGGTGACTGTGTACAATCATGGTTTTCACTTTTTATACCTCAGATGGTTTGGCTTTCAAGGTGGAAAGAATAGGTTCTGTCTGGAGGGGGGAAAACATACCTCTCTTGTATAGCTGAGCTGAATTCAAACACTCCTAAATACACAACAGATTTCCCATAATATGTTTTCTATGGAATAGAGAAGGCTGCTTGGCAATTTGTCCTGCACCCCTCCCACACACACTATATTGGCTTGAAGCTTATCACTTCTGCCTGCTGGAATAAATCCAACGGTGTAATATCATCTGTGAATTGATGCTCATTATGGCATCTGCTGTCACACTCCCCTCACACAATTCAGCACACAACAATAAATACCAATGCTGACTTTTTAATCTGCAACAATTTGAAATGTATACCAGCAAATGCTGGCAAAATTTATCAGTTTGATTTCAGCCACTCTTGGACATACTAATATCTTGATCAAAATGCCAAATATATTATCTTAGGAATCAAATGCATTCTGAACCAAAATCTTCCACAGAGTGGAGTTACTCCAGGATGTTCTGGGGCAGTCCTTTTTGTTGTGGTTGCTGCTGCTAATTCGAACTATTTTGATGTTATCCTTCCAGTCCAGATACACAAGGGGAATTCTTGTTGGATGTACTAGGGGATCCCAGTGTACATTGGGGTGTCCCTATCTCTCAAATTGTGCCCCCATCATTTTGAACCCATTACTGCCCTCTCCTTTGGCTAATTTTCTTTGGGTGAACTCCACCCAGTTCACACTCCTCCCCTAGTTTCACCTGTCTGCCATCTGTTCCCATCCATTTACATTAATCCACCGTCCCGAAATCTTCTAATCGCTACCTGTCTACTTATTTCACTGCATAACAGTACTTCTGCTTTATTTTCATTTTTGTTTTCATTTTTCTATTTCTGTGCTACAGTTTTTGATCAGCATGTGGCTTTCTTTGTCAGCAGCATTATTGCTGAATAAGAGTTGGGTATTTGTCTGTCTTTCCTTCACTGCAAAGTGAGGCTGTGAAATTCATCACTTCTGTCAAGTTTCCTGACTCCTGTTGGTAGCACTCACTGATTTCCCAAGATCATTAGGACAATCTGTACAGGTTCAATAGCTTTTCTTTCTTTTTCTTTCTTTTTTTCGTTCGTTCGTTCGTTCGTTCGTTCGTTCGTTCTTTCTTTCTTTCTTTCTTTCTTTCTTTCTTTATTTATTTATTTATTTATTTATTTATTTATTTATTTAAGCAAGCTTATATGGCACTGATTCAGGTTCTGTTCCAAGGTATGAAACCTATCCCATAATTCATATTGAGCCTCAGAAGGAGACAAAGGTTACCCCTGTGAACAAAGGAGCAGGACAGGAGCAGGTGGGGAGAAGGCTTGCTCTAACCAAACACTTGTGATTCAGCACTTTCCAACAAAAAAGAAAAGTGTAAGAGCTAAATAGAAAAAACTGTATTATGAAGTCTCATGTGAACTCATTTGAAGAACAATGAATGAATGAGTCTAAACGCATTGGCCTTCATGATTTAATTAGCTGTATAGAGTAAGGTTGAAAGATTTTAAATAAAGAGTTAATAAGGATGGCCTGGAAGGATATAGGTGGTCCTCTTGTTTTCTACACTTAATACCACATAGAAGCTCCACACTGGTATCAGAAAACAGAATTGAACTGCCTGGGAGTATGACTTGGATCCATTTGAGACTCAGCCAGTCAAAAAGAGCGAGAGGTGAGGATTATAAAGGATGGGGAGAAGAAAAATAAAAGAAAGGTTTGGTCAGAGGAATAGTTAATACTTTTCTACTAAATTTCCCACCTCTGCCAGGAGGCATCATGAATTAGTCAGACTATCCAAGAAAGTTGTTTTATGCTTGGAGCTTTAAGCATGTGCAAAGAAACAAAATACAGGAATTTGTGGGTTTATATATGAAAAGTAAAAGATAGTTTTGTATGCTGACACATCTGCTAATTACAAGACCAAATAATCTATTACTGGATAATTGATAGCATAATTAATTAATAGTTTGGGGGTCTTTCTAATTATACTATTAATTAGTCTAAAACTGAGGTATGGCTATTGGAACTATTATTTCACTGTGATTGTTTTCAGCTGACAGTTTTATTGGTGTCCAGGAGCTATTAGAGATCTAGATATATTAGTTCTCAGGCTCTTACTCAAATGATTCCATTAGACTTGCCTATATTGTTTGCTGAAATAGCTCTCAGTTTAGATAGATTACATATTGGGGTAAGAGTAACACATATGCATACCTGCGGTATTCCATGGTATAGTCCCCAAGCTTATTTCCATAAAATTAATATTTTAGAAAGGAAATGCATATGGAGCCTTTATTGCCTCATTTTTTATGTTTGCATTTATATTTTTATTTTTGCACAATAAGATTTTACCCCCCTGAAAATACATTTCATTTTCTACACTTGATTTGGCTATAAACATACCTTTTGAGTTCTACAAACAGGTGGTAAACACTGTTGTATTCAACTAGCCTTTGAAGGGCATTCTATGTTTTTTTTCATTGCTGCTGGATCCTTTCATGAACTGTCCATTCCAAGAAAGGACTATCTCTCCCACTGCCACCCACCCCACACTTAACTTTTGTAGCTAACGAGCCTTGTGGAAATTTCCCCATTAAAATTACAATATGATTCTCATAATATATTAACTTCATGGAGTAAGTGCAGTCAGAAAATGAAAGGCAAACATTTTTACAGAAAAAAAGGGCTGACAATGGAATGCATACATTATATCAATATATTAAGAATATTTGCCATTTACAACATTGCTGTCATTGTCATTGTTGTTATGCGCCACCAAATCACCTCTGACTTATGGCAACCCTATGAATGAGTTACCTCCAGAAGGTCCTGTTATTAACAGGTCTACTCAATTGCAGCAAACCTAAGTCCATGGCTTCCATTATGGAGTCAATCCATCTCATATTTAGTCTACTTCTTTTCCTGGTGTTCATCAACCTTTCCTGTTGTGTGGCCACATCTACAATTATAACACCTCAGTTTCTGTATATGGGCCATCAGCTTTAAGTGCTTCATTAGTCTGTTGGAAGTGTTCATTGCATCCTTAGAAAAACTGGAACCAACAAGTTTACAAATATTCATTGGAAAACACTAAATTTGATGTCAGTGAAGTCAGAATTGAATGGAAGGATAGACTGTACTATACAAGTTAACCGATGAAAATTTCCCTATCCTCAATATGTAAAGTTTTATACATTAAAATTACATTTTTTTCAGCAAAAAAATGATGTTTGGGTCTCCATCTTTTTAAGGAGAAATGATCAATTCAACTAAGTGGTGGTGGTGTAATATAGTTAGCACATCCTTTTGACATATGATATGTCGATGTTCACTGGTGACTCCTTTCTGGCTGGATATAGTGCAACACATTGAGTTTCTATTAGAATATTTTCGATATTAGTAGAGATTTATAAACCTGTTCAGTACAGTTATGCAGTGCAGGTACATCATCATCATCATCATCACCATCATCGTCGTCGTCGTCATTGTCGTCGTCGTCATCATCATCATCTTCATCATCATCATCATCATCATTATCATCATCATCATCATCATAATGTGCTGTCAAATCAATTCTGTATTATGGCAATCCTTTTTTCAGGGTTTTCCAGGTAGAGAGTACTCAGAAGTGGTTTGCAATTCACTTCTTCCTTGGGGTGGGCACCCTAGTAATATGCAACTTACCCAAGGTCACACAGGCTGGCTCTGTGGCGAACTGAACTCCCAACCAATGCCTTCAGAGCTAGATACCGAAACTCCTGAGCTATCCAGCCAGATTGATTTATTATTCAATTATCGAGGATATTGCTCTTTATCTATGCAAAACTACTCATTTTTGCAAATGCCAGCTCCGAGCAACTACCAGAAACCTACTGTGAAATATTGCATACGTAAAAGAAATTGCATAAGCATTTTGTTTTCAATTTCCTGTCTGTCTGTCATGCACCTCGGTGTGCAACCAAGTACACAACCAAGTATAAGCTGGATATGACCAAGCACATGACAGACAAAAATGTAAAGTTGGGATATGTGCTCCCATTTTCTTTCTTTTCCCTCCCTCTCCCTTTCAAACTGGAAGCTTATCATAGCCTGAACTAAATAGCCTGATAACATGTGTACTCTAGGACTATGGGATGGGAATCATATAAGTGGACTCTTCAATGATGTATATCCGTATACAACTGCTTGAACTTGCAAGGTACTGCTGATGGACCCAGATAGGCTGCTATCTGGATTTACCCCACCCCTCTAGACCAGTGGTTCTTAACCTTTTTGAAAGAAACGCCCCCTTGAGCCATTGAGGAAGTTATCATCGCCCCCTCCCCGCGGTGATGATATCTTTTTTATTTGTTTGTTTGTTTGTTTTTTATTTATTTATTTAAGACACTTAAATCCAATGACCCCTGAAAACAAAATTAAATTCCAAGAAAATTAAATGCCCCCCCCCCAAAAGAAACATTTAATGATTTAGTTGCAAGTGAATTTTAAGACGTAAAAAGAAATATAAAAAGGGCATAAAAACAAATGCAGGAACTAAAAATTTCAAGACAAAAAGTCTGAAACTAAATTAAAATTGGAGGAAAATATATATTCATACACACTGTAAAAAGGCTGCAGCCATCTTCACAGGTTTTGCTTGCTCCAGCGCCCCCACACCGCCCCTTTTTGTTCTACGGCCCCCCTGAAAAATGAAATCGCCCCCCGGGGGGCATTATCACCCACGTTAAGAACCACTGCTCTAGATTTACTGACTTCTGTTTAAAATTTGCCCTTCTGTCTAGGCGTGATAATCAAGGGGGACAAAATAAGTGAGCAAATGGGTCTAGCATCACATAACGACTTTCAGGAAGTCCATCACTTCTAAAACAGTTGTCAATTGTGAGAGCTTCAGACATACATTCATAACATAAAAAGGAAGTGAATACAGTATTTACCAAGAGGATGGTAACGGCTGTGCATATTATCCCATAGGATGTCACCATTTACCAAGCCAGTTAAAAGCACATGGCTTCCTTTTGGAACCTGGCTATCTAGATAATGCAGAGTTTGTATAACATTGATGCGCATTTCATCAGGTCTTGTCATGTGTTTCACTGTATCACGTTTCCTATGAAAGAAAAAGAAAACAGCATAGTACTTACAGTGGAACAGAAAGAAAAAAAATGTAATCCTGTTTGAGTATGTTTCTAGTGATTTGCCTGGTATATTTTTATACTTTGTTTAACTAGCAGAGAGGTAACTTTGTGAATATAACATCGTACATTCCTTTTCTAGGAGTATGGCAGATGCAATAATCAGATCAAGATCATTTTTCAATAGTATAAGGGATGCAGTGACTAGATTTAGATTAGATCACATTCAGACACCTTCTGAGCCAGTTGCTTGGTTTTGGCTGTTCCAGGGACTTAATAAAATCAGGAGAGCTATTGAGCTGTAGTGATTAGGGGCTCTTTAGAAAGTGGACTACCAAGCTACAGAAACTTGGACTAATGTTGAATATGCATGAAAGCTGGTCCTTGGAGTAAGTAGCGAAGACCATTGGAGTAAAAGGAAAAGAGGTTTACCATAGCAATGACACCTGCAGACAGAAACGCTCCAACACCACACCACCCTAAACACACTTATCTCATTTGATTTTGAAAGCCAAGCTGTGTTTGGAAGTCAAGCAAAGTCTGGTGAATTAAACTGGGAAAGAAAACAAAGATTTCTAGGTAGGGTTTCAATGTAAACAGGAGGTTGAGATGCTCTACTAGTTAAATGCCTGGGAAACAGAAACTTGCATCTGAGAGCAGGAAGAAAGGATGTCATGCCGAGAATATCAGTCTGCAGGCAAGGAAGAGACAGATTAGGCAGCACAGAAGGGAACTATCCAGGGAAACCTGTCTGTATTCCTTTGCCCGTAGCAGGGCCGGACTGGGACCAAAAATCGGCCCTGGCATTTAGAGCACACAGGCCCACCAGCTGTGGGGACACAGGCCCACCTGTTGTGGGCTCCATTCACGATATTGTGGCACGCTGAAAGGGCGTTGCTGGTATAGTGGTATTGGTACATGCTTACAAGGTCTCCCTATCCCAATCATTGCCCTGGTTGTATAAATAACAAGGAGCATCAGGAAATCTAAACCTGAAATGCACCGGGGGGATTTTGAGTGAGGTGCTCTCGCCATCAGCCTGGCCTACCTCACAGGGCTGTAGGGAGGAGCATAAAACTTGGGAGGGAGCCGAGGATATGAACGAAACGAATAAACAGGACCTCCCTGTGCAAGAGGAATGTATCTTTTCTGCCGCAGCACATCCTAAGGAGCAGGATAAGAAGGCAACTCGTATCTAAAGCGGGGTTGTGACATTTTCAGGGGACGGTGAAACAAAGACAGCCTAGCCCTGCTCTGATGAGGAAATTTTCACTTAAAAAAAAACTGGCCAGGAAAGTTGATCTTCCCGGGACCGGGTCAGGATCCCTCCGGTCGAGGCTGGGCTTGCCGATGAAACTTCAGCCCAGCCTCGTCAGAGGGGCTTTCCTGGGAGGCAGCGTGCCGAGGAGGAGAGGCTTTCTCGGCTTCCAGTTTCCGATGGGCCCTCCTCGCTCCTTCCAGTCCCCCCCTCCGCTCTTTTCCCCGTCCTTGCCCCCTTCCTCCTCCTCCCCTCTCCAGGCCCCCCCGGCTTTCTCTCCTCGCCCGCCCACCCAGGGAAGGCTGGCCGAGGCGCCCGCTCCCTCTCCCATCCCCCAGCGGCGTGCTTCCCTTTGGAGAGGCCAAGGGCGCCCGGCGAAGGCGACACGCCCGGGCACC